CGCCCTGTTTAATTGAGAAGAAGCCGGATGGCTCTTCCCGCTTCATAACTGATTATCGAAAGGTAAACTCTGTTACAGTGCCAGATGCATATCCCTTGCCCAGAGTAGATGACTGTATTGACAGAATAGGAGATGCATCCTTTATAACGAAAATAGATCTACTCAAAGGTTACTGGCAGGTGCCTTTAACAACTGCTGCCTCCGAAATCTCTGCCTTTGTAACTCCGGACGCATTTCTGCAATACACAGTTATGCCATTTGGAATGCGAAATGCCCCGGCAACCTTTCAAAGAATGATGAGCTCAATAACTTCTGGTTTATCGAACTGCACTGTATATCTTGATGATATCGTTGTCCACACCTCCACTTGGGAAGCCCACATTGAGGGTCTGCGGGCCCTTTTTCAGCGTTTAGCTGATGCTCGACTCACCATTAACCTGGCTAAAAGTGAGTTCGTTAAAGCCACGGTCCAGTTTCTGGGAAAAGAGGTTGGCCATGGGAAAGTAAAAATGTTAGCAGACAAAATACAGGCCATCACAGAGTTCCCCAAGCCGAAAACGCGTAGGGAATTGAGACGCTTCATTGGAATGGCTGGCTACTACCGCTGTTTTTGTAAGAATTTCGCCAGTGTAGTTTCCCCATTAACCAATCTTTTGAGTCCAAAGGTTCCGTTTACCTGGGATGAAAGTGCGCAAAAGGCGTTTGACTCCTGCAAGGTTTTACTTTGTAGTAACCCTGTTTTAAAAGCCCCTGACTTGACCAGACCATTTAAGCTCGAGACTGATGCAAGCCATGTAGGGGTTGGGGCCGTGTTACTACAAGAAGACGATGCAGGGATTGACCACCCAGTTGCCTACTACTCACGGAAATTTGCCACATACCAATTAAACTACTCCACAGTGGAAAAAGAAACCTTGGCTCTATTGCTGGCTTTGCAGCATTTTGAAGTGTATGTTGGCTCCAGCAACGGGCCCCTAATTGTTTTTACAGACCATAACCCTCTGGTTTTCCTTTCCAGAATGTTTAACAGGAACCAGAGATTAATGAGATGGGCCCTCCTGCTCCAAGACCACAACTTAGACATCCGGCACAAGAAGGGAGCTGACAATGTGGTTGCGGATTGCCTGTCTCGCGGTTTTGTAGAATAGTGCCTTTCTTTTATTCTATGGATATTACAGATAAACTTAAACGAAGCGGTGAGTTCCCAGGTAGGTTTTAGAGGTATACCCCCTTTGGGGTATGTCCTGTTTGTTTTTTTTATTAGTGTTGTGTGTCGCGGCTAGTGTTGGTGTCCTTTTGGGCACCATCTCGGGAGCACCCCAGGAGGAAAAGGGGCCGGCTTGGCCACCCCTCTTCCTTGCTGGTTAGTATGTTTTCTTAGGAAAACATGTGCTTAATCTGCCCGCCTGCAAGCACATGAAGCCTAGACTGCAGTTTTTTAGAGAAGAAATGTTAGGCAGTCAGTGGGGACTCATCCGTTTTTGTCAACCTGAAATGAATCCTAGATTTGTTTTCCAGAGGCATTGTTTTTTTTTCCTCTGAGTTGGTCTTTAAGAAAGACAATCCTTTTTAATGACTGTCTTTCTTAGCTGTTTAGGGGGAGGCTGTGACGACCCTCGTCCCCTCGGTCCGTCCTCTCATCCTAGCCTGAGCCTTTTGTCCCTGCTGCACGGGATCCAGCACCAGGGTCAGCGCCAGGAGCGGCCAGCTCACACGCTCCAGCGCCCTTTCAGGACCTCGGAGAGAGGCACGCCAGCAGAGACAGCAGCTGATCTTCATAAGTGATCAAGCAGCTCCCAGCTCTTTAAAAGGAGGAACGCAGCAGACATCAAGGAGATCCTGGATTAGCCGGAGATTCTCCTTTAACTCATGGACACTTTAGCGACCGTTACCAGTCGGGTTTAAGGCTGTTTACACCGTTCCTGCTGGGTTTAAGGTTGTTGATAGAGATTCAGGAGTAGCCTGAGATTCTCCCTCGCTCTTTTGTGTTTAGGTTTTCTACTAAGGATCCAGGATTAGCCTGAGTACCTTCTGAGTGTGTTTTTCACACGCCTTGTTAAGGGTTAAACCTACGTGGTGTTTTTCTTTTTATCCCCATAGGACTTTTGAGCCGGGGATATTTTGCGTTTTGGCAGAAAGCCTTTTACATAAGCAGTGAGACTGCTCATGTTGTAGTTTATTATTACTACGCCTTATTTATGCCGTTTACCCACGGACACCTTATGTTAATAAATCCTTTTGTTTTTACTCGAACCTCCTCGTCCTTTATCCTCACACACACTTTTACACCTATTTTCTTGTGTTAGTCCCCTCATCCTCCTAGACCTGCAGAGAGGGGGCGTAACACCAAGCCAAAGACAACCAAGTCCAATTCAAGTCCAAAGTCAATGATGTGGAAATCCGAGTCAAGTCCAAGTCCTTAACTTTGAATTTTCAAGTCACATTCAACTCATCTGTCCAACTTCAATTTAATGACAATGATAATAAATACATCCCACAAATGAAGCTTCTGAAAGTAAAACTGATTTGCTGCAACAAGCAGGAAGTGCAACTGAAGCTGATGATAAACAAAGAGCTGCTGCATTCAGCATCAAACCCAGAACCAAGAAGGATTCATGATTTTTCTCCATGTCGGGCCACGTTTGTGCTAAAATATCAAACATGCTCAAGTCATCATCAAGTCAACAGAAGCAAGTCGCATGTCATTGACGTTCAAGTCCATGTCAAGTCATAAGTCTTTATAGATTTTATCAAGTCAAGTCATAAGCCATATAAAATAATGACTCAAGTCTGACTCGAGTCCAAGTCATGTGACTTGAGTCTACACCTCTGGAGGCCAGGCCAGGAGGGAAAGCCATGCTGATGAAGTGTGTTTTAAGAACAGACTTACTGAGGGAAGGAGCCGAACGTGCACGGAGGGGCTGAGAGTCCCAAAGGTTTGGGGCCAACTGAGGGAAAGCGCACTCTTCTTTGGAACAATCAACAGCAGGTGACTGGCTGATGGGGACGAGTGGGTGCATGAGGAGACAGCAGGTCAGCCATATAAGATGGAGATGGCACTTTCAAAGCGTTGTACACTCAAAGCAAGACTTTGAAATGAATCCTGAATTTAACCGAGAACCAGTCTAAGTCAGCAAGGATGGGAGTGATGTGAGTGCGTCTGTCGGTATTGGTTAACAACCTGGCCGCAGCATTTTGAACTTTGTGTAGTCTGCCAAAGGTGATGGCTTTAATCACGATCAGCACAGAACCGGTGTAATCTAGATGTGTGGTAATGACAGACTCAAGGTGTGGGCGTTTGAGGATGGATTGAAGACGTGTGATGCGGCGGAGTTGAACAAAGCAAGACCTGACAGTGGTGTTGGCTTGTGAAGTCATGGAGAGGTTGGAATCGAATTTTACATCCAGGCAAGTGGCGCATGAATTGAGACTGAGTGAGGGGAGAGTGGGGACACCTAAAGCATAATTTGTGTTAGTGGGGTTATAAAGGATGGATTCTGTCTTGCTGTCATTTCACTGCAGGCAGGTGGAGGAGAGCCAGGTTTAGACCTCAGAAAGGCATTCTGACAAAACAGAAGTTGTGTGCTGCTTGACTAAAATCTGTCTGAGAGAGAGCATGATTGAAAAAAGGAAAGGAACCAGGATAGAGCCCTGAAGCACTCCCCATGGAAGCAGGACTCTGGGAGAGGAGCAGTCCTCAATATGGATGCTAAAACCCTAATAAGTGAGGTACAATTTAAACCTGGCAAGGGCAGTACCAGTCACGCCCATCCAAGACACAGAGCCCCTTTCTTCTGGTTCACAGGGGTAGCTCTCCACCAAGCTGAGTCCTGACAGTGTCAGAAGAGCCCGAGGAGGCAGATCATTTCCACAGTCTGCTCGATCCTCTGACAAGGATCTCCAAGCGGGAGGGTGGAGGGAGCGCCGACAAGGGCCCAGAGCATATCCACTAGCCATTCTGGGATTCTACACAGCTCACAGATTAGCTGTCCACCTGGGATTGAGACATTAGACAGTTTTGTGATTATTTCACAGTAGAAGTCTTACAAATAGCTTTCTCAAGGATCAATTTTCTCTTGTTTCTATATTGTTATCGTGTCTGTTTTATCCATTTTATTAACTTTGGAATTTAAAACCAACTCCAGACAGATTAAATGTTTATACTTGATTACATTTTTCAGTTACAACCAGAATATCATTACTTTTAAACTAATAATTTTTAATCTGATCCTGATTAAAACAAACTTCATCCCCTGATTGAAATTTTTTGCTTTTCTACTCTGATTCTGGAGCAACACGCTGAATAAGCTACTGATTTATTTTAGGGATGTTGTGTGTACAGTATGAAGCAATAAAACAGCTGATCTAGGTCACTCAATACTCAGACTGTGGATGCTTTCTGCAGCTGTAATATTTACTGCACACTCAGTGTGCACACGTAGTCCTTAAGAATGATCGCAGGTGTAAGGTTCAGTGACTTGTTTCATCGGTGCAGCTTCAGGCCGTGTCTTTCATTTATAATCGACTTCCAAGAAATACACAGTGCTGACAGCCTCATTTGCACTGTTGCACGTTTTCTCTTGTGATGAAAGTGAGCGTGTCTATAAATGCCTGCGTTTGAATGTCAGTGTACCACAAATAATAGGGTTCAGTGACGGGAGCATTGCAAAATAAGCACAAAAATGAGAAAAGACAATGTGTGTGGGTGGAATAAAAGGACTCAGCGCCACCGTTTTACCTTTGTTGACATAACCATCACTCTTTTCATTTCATCCTGGATTCTGCTGATTCCATTCAATTTATGTGGAATGGGCAGCACACACACACACACACACACACACACACACACACACACACACACACACACACACACACACACACACACACACACACACACACACACACACACACACACACGCACGCTAATCCCAGCAGCACATTGTTTGGAGCTGATCTAACCTCACTATTAACCATTCTGGATGTGCTGGAACCAGTCTCACCATGCAGCACGGACTGATGAAGACTCCAGTAGATACTCAAGCAGTTTTTCTCCCGCTTCATCCCTCGTTTACATTGGCAGCCGTGCAAAGGGGTGGACAGGAGTGCTATCATGGCATTCTCACACTGGTTTCGTGCTCCAGGCCCCAGCTTCATGCTGCCGTCTCCCGCCACGCACTGCCGGAGGGTGCGCAGTCGTGGGCTGCAGGAATCATCACTGGAGCAGGTGTCTCCAGATCGCAAACAGTCTCTTCCTCCTGCAGACAGGACCATGGGTGGAGCGCCTGTAAGACAAGAACAAGGGTAAAAGAAGTGCCATGCTCAGGTGGTTGGGTGTAGGAAGTTCATCCAGTAGATTATGTTTCTGTTCATTTATATGATGTGGCTGAAGGATAATGACTTTTCTTTTTAATTTGCACAACAGCCCGCTTACAGCAGTGAGCTTGTGGCTAATTTGAATTTAAATGGAAGGTGGAACTACTGTGCAAAGCTACATTTAGCCTAACGTATGAACATCAGACATTGGCCTGGAAACATTTCATTTTCTTAACATGAAAAAATAAACTAAGCAGGATCCCTGAAGTCTGAAAAACATAATTTCTGGACACAAATCTGACAAGACAACCAAAATAAATAAATAAAAAGAATAATAACTAATTTTCTGTTTTTGACCAGTTAAAAATAACATATTTATTGAAATGATTCATTTTGTTAGTCATAATTAGTTCATTTTGATCATGAACTTCAGCTTAAACTCTGGTTGCAGAGTGTTCTAATTTGTTGGTTTGTGGTATCAGAAAACCTGAAGAGTTTATATTTAAGAGAATTTGTTTTGGGACAAGAGAATCCTTTTACTGCTCAATTCCAGCATTTTTAACCCGCAGAGGGCGCTGTACCCTATGTGCACGGACTAGTCCTCACGTAAAATCCATCTCACACTGCTGACTAGAACACGGGGATGATGCATCAAACCAATAGATTCTGACATGTCAGAAATTAAACTGAAAGGTTCTGTCTTCAGTCAAAACAAGATGTCATATTTGTTCCGGAAATCTAAATGTGACACCTTCATGTAGGGGAATAAATCAGTTGTCTCCATGAGTAGGATTTATTCCAAACAGGGTAGTAAGTACTGGAATACCGTCAACGACCAAACCTTTATTTCTGTCCAATCATAAATAACAGACAAATATTCTATTCACATAAAAGTTTGAAAACTCAGAAGTCCTGAATAAATTGTTGATTGATGCTCTATCTCCTAAAAGATCATCAACCCACTTCTGGCCTTAGAGCCTCCAGATAAAGTATCAGG